GCCGATCGTCCACCCCCGGAATGTAGACCGCCAAGAGGGCCAGAACCAGACTCTCCGCCCAGGAGAGGACCCTGGCCACCTCCCGACATGCGGCTACGCACATTGTGTCGCCCCCAGGGGCTGAAGTACGCCGCCCCAGTGGTGTTGGCCGACTGGGCTCGAACCTACTGACCCCGAAGGACGGATCGTCCATGAAGGAGAGATAGGCGAATGGCCCGAAGTACCAACATGGAAAAATTGACAGACAGGACTCCCCCCGCGACCAACGACCCTGCACTGTCTGGGAGCCCAGGACCGCACCCCAGCCCCCAAAGGCTGGCGTCCGTGGGGACCACCGTCCAGTCCAGGGGCAGGAAAGACTTCCCCGCGCACCGAGGCTGGAGATTGAAGCCACCACCGCAGGGAAGCCCTCGCCTCCTAAAAACACTCGAAGCTCCCTGTCCAGGGATAGGGAAAACTAGTCCCACTGCCACCATGAGGTCCAGGACCTGCATACAAAAGCGAACGGACGACCACCGGTGGGTCCACAACAGACGCACACTGGAACGGAGTTTCAGAAGTTTGTTCCGATGGAGAAAAATTCGGGTCACAACAATGTCCAGGACCAAGCCCAGAAACTCCAGTCGAGGGAAAGGCACCAGACACTACTTCCGGAAGTTCAGGAGCCATCCGAACTCCTCCGAGGACCGCACAGCGACCTCTAGAGCCGACACCAGAGAAGAACAACTCCACTCGCAGAAGATCGTCCAGACAACCCACGAACGTGTACCCCTGGCAACGCAACAGCGCCAGATTCGGGGCTAACACCTTGGTGAACACCGGCGGGGCCGACGGCCGGCCGAAAGGCTGTGCCACAAACTAGAAGCGCCCTCACCCCACCGCGAAAACGAAGATATCGCTGGAGAGACACAAACAGGCACATGAAGGTCGGCATCTTTGATGTCGATGGAGGCCAGCAGATCCCCCTGCCGGAGACGTGCCACTACGGACCGGATCGGCTCCATCCGAAACCGGCGGACCCGCACAAAGAAGAACAACGTTTGAGGTCCAGGATGGCCCGTACTCCCTCTTTCTTGAGCTGGGTAAACAGGTTGAAATAAAATCCCGTGAACCTTTCCGAGGACGGAACCGGCACGACCACCCCCAGGAGACAAGAGGTCCGCCACAGCGGGGTGAAGATCCACCAATCGCGGAGGGGAAGGCGAGAGTTGGATGGGAAAAAGCTGTTCCCGGGACGGGACAGAAATTCGATCTCGTAACCTGAAGAAACCAGCTCCCGCACCCAGGTGTCGGAGACGTGAGCCCCTCAAAAAAAAAAAAAGAAAAAACACCAAGAGCCGAAGGTGCCCCCCCCACCCAGGGACCCAGAGATGGGGTCCGCCCTTCATACGGACGAGGGCTCGCCGGTGGGCTCGGCAGACTCAGGCCGCCCGGGACGCTCGGCAGGGAGGAAGAAGGGTAGGAGAACTAACCGCCCTTCTCTGAGGGGGGCGAAAAAGCCGTTCGTGAGCAGAAAAAGAGGGATTCGGCTTCCGCCGCTGGTCCTTCCGCAGCTGAGGCAAAAAAAGGTACACGTACCCCCCCGTCAAATCTGTAATCATCTTATCTAAGGAGGCACCGAATAAACGGTCCCCCTTAAAAGGGAAGCTCCGTCAGAGCTCTCACGGAAGCCTGGTCAGCCGACCAGCACTTAAGCCAAAGCAACCGGCGAAGCGTAACCGCCGACACTGACAGGCTCGGCACCAGGGGCGAGTTACAGACATACCGAAGGCCCTGCACCAAGTGTTCGTCAATACCACATAAGCGGGACAGAGAATCTTCTCCGCAAGCCCATGACGCAACATCGTTGCCCATGCTGTCAGAGCCCAGGAGACCAAGCAGAAGCCAGAACCGGTCGCATAAGGGCCCCAGAGGTAGTTTCGTGCTCGGGGTCCAAAACCGCAGCACCCTCCAGGAATGCGTCCCGGAGACCACCCAGCAAGGTGTATTCACGCCCCAGTATGGCGTCAAAACACTCCCCAGCACCAGGCAAAGTGACCCAGAAAACAGCTGACAAGCCACTCAGGGCGCAAATGGAAACTACACAACCAGTTAGGGCAGCTGCCCAAAACCAAAATGGCGGCCGCCCATGCTCCACCAGGCCGGGGACTAGATTCGGGGGCCATTACCGGCACATACAGGTCACCACTGCAGACTGTGGAGTCCTGCCACCTGACCTTGGTCCGCAACGGACTGGAACCCCCAGCAGAAAGCCCTCCCAGGGAGCACAAAGCGGCCGATCTGTTAGGCCACAAGCCGGGGACTAAATTTTCGGCCCACGGCAGCCGCAATCGCGGTAATCCACCGTTTAGTACTGCGGCCCCAGCGGGCCGGTACCAACCTCTGAGCCAAGGCCCTGCCGAAGGGGCCTACCATCAGATCCCCGCTAGGCCGCAAAAGCCGGGGACTAAATTTCCGGCCGCAGGTCACAATCGCGGAAATCCGCCGTTCAGCACCGCGGCCCCAGCGGGCTGGCACCACCCTCAAGCTAAGGGGGCCTACCAACCGTTCCCTGCTAGGTCGCAAAAGCCGGGGACTACATTTTCGGCCACGGGTCACCCACGGCGGCAATCCGCCCCTCAGTACTGCGGCCCCTGCGGACCGGCACCAACTGCCCAAGCCAAGGCCCCATGGAGGGCCCACCACTCATTACACGCTAGGCCGCAACAACCCGGGGACTAAATTTTTTCGCCCGCAGGCCGCACTTGCAGCCACCACCAGTACGAAGGTGGCACCCCGCTGTCCAACGGCGCTGTCCCCAAACAGCCATCCTCCATCTCAGGGTCCAGCACCCAGCGAGGAAAGCTCCGCGGCCCCACCACAGACACGACCGCAGTGACCCAGTGACAACCACCGCGACTGCAGCAGGCCCAGACTGTTCAATGGCCACAGCACAAGTCACCGTGCACAGGGCTCCGACAGACCCCCAGTCCAGCATACTCACCTCCTAGGGGACGCAGGAGAAGACCCTGGGAAGTACGGATCGCACCAGTAAACTGGGAGCGTCAATGCAGACCACAACCGCACCAAAATCAGGGTCCAGCAGGGATGACTAAACGCCACATGACCGTAGCCGGGGCGCCGCCTGCCTGTGAAGGGTACAGTGACTGGGCAGCCGAGACCCACAGTCATATGCACCCCTCCGGGAAGACGCCCACAGGCCACTCCATGAAATAGAGTAGGCGCAGCCGACCCACCGGAGCAGAGTCTGCATACGCTCGTAGGCCAGACTGGGTCGGACTACAAGGATCTATGCACATCCAGCGTGTCACCCAGCCGGCAATTGCTTGAAGATTCAACCAAAAAAAAGGAAAAAGGGAAGAAGAATCCCAGCGAAAAATACTTTGCTCCTTACTCCTGACGCTAGGCAAAAAACTGGAGACTTGTCAGCAGGTGTGGGGGGGGGTTGTCTTGTCTTTTTGTTATGTGCCTAGCGTCCTACTGGAGGGACGCTCTGACTTATGTTGAGGCAAGTGAAAGCTCTAAACTCCAGTTATATACATATTGATAATGATGTTAAGGGTAGAACCAAAGAGATGCCTTCCGTTAAAGACCAAACAAATCAGGCACTGCTTGTATACAAAGTTCGCCTCCCAGCACCTTAACCAGAGTGTTCTGTGTATTTGTATGGAGAACAGACCATACGAGACACAAACTGTGATGGCCTACAGGGAAACATCCAGGCTTAAGTGTAAGGCTCTGAACATCTGTTCCACATGCTCCATCAGGAAAGAGTCCACTGCTACAGAGTATAGGTCCCATTTAAAGGGCTTTAGCACATTCTGTTACAGTCCATCCTCCTAAGACACAAAACAAAAAACTGAGGCATGCTGGTAGAAGTCCAGCTTCCAAGTTTTTTGTGTTTGCCAGTGTCCAATGCGCCTTTAGGTGGCAGTATAACCCAACAGTATATTACTTCTTGTGACCCTCAATGGATGAAAATGGGACTCCTATTTTTGACACTTGTGATCGAACGGAAACATGCAAATAACGGTTTTAAGAAAGCTCTATTGATGCCAGAGTACTTTTTACATTTTAATTCTTGCACAAGCCCCAATCACCAGTTCTTTAAGGACCAGTTGTAATTTTGACACAACTTACCTGGTTGCTACAATCTATTTGGTCCCACAGTACTTTCTTATGCAAGATAAAAGCAATCAATTTGAACACAAGGTTATATGGCACGATACTGACAATGTGCGACTAAGGAATACTCCTACACAACAGCATGAAGCAAAATGAACTCAAACTTGGATTCAGCAAAGTATCCTTCCTTAAAATAAAGCATGGAATGCATTGCTCCTCTGGCTAAAACTCCGACAGTGTCAAACATCTCCAAATCACGCTCCCACGCTGATACAGCCCAGAACTCCAGACCTTCAGCAGTTTTTGCAGTTCTGTAAAAACACTAGCTGTTGCCCTTCTGCCAAAAAGACCTCAATTGTCAGTAATTAATAATTTATTCTAACCCGAGGAAACCAAAGAAAAGTAAATGTCAGGAAAAACCACTGCTCAGGGCAGATTTTCAAGCAAATTTATATTCACACCACAACTTGGATTAACTAGTGCACATGGCAAGCATTTAAAAAGACAATAGTTAAGAGACTTAACATTTTGGCTGAACCATCTAGAAGGGCTAAGAAAAAGTTAAGCACTACAAAAATACAATGTAATACAAGGCCCGGTGGGATGGAGGTCTAGGATATGCGATTGTGATGAGATCTTTAGGACTATTTTAGATAAAAGGTCATTAGTCAACAACTATATCTTTCAGGAAAATCTGGTAATAACACTGTAATTCAATCACAAGTTATTTTTGGAAGAAACAAGATAACGTCAGCCTTGTACTTTGTGTTCTTACAGTCAATCATTTGGCAAGAGTTACAAAAAGCCTAAATGCTGCCATCTTTAGTAAAACTGTATTAGTCAGCTACAATGGAGCCTCAACATGAGTGACTTACCTTTCACACTTTTTACAAAGACTGGCTTCTCTTTCGTAGGGTCCTTCTCGTCCACTAGGATACCGTGAAAGATTCGACCAAATGTACCTATGTACAAAAAAAAAAAAACGGCATGAGCAACAGCCATTACCAAATTAAGGCGTATAAAATGAAAGGGATTGTTTAAAAAATAAACAAACACAGAGAAAGACTAGAACATAAAGCAAAGGCAAAAAATAGCAGCAGGTATAAAGTGCAGAATCCTAGAGGAGCCCCTACAAGCCTGCAAATATGATGGAATGCTAGAACGCAAAGCGCTGAGAATTAGTTAGTTTTGGCCCTTGCCCACAAATCCTGCCCACTCACATTTCTACTTATCATGATGGGCTGCCTTACTAGCCAATAAAATTGTGGAGGAGACAGGAAGAGGAAAGGCAAGCTTCAGCACCGAAGTGCAAAAGCTCAGAGTACAAGAACGTACTTTGTGCAGGTATGTGCCTATTAGGGATGCACAGATACTTTTCGAGTACCAGTGCAGATACTTGGCATTTTCATGAGAACTACCAGGGTTGCAGCGGTTGCAGCTGGGACCGGGCTCTGGCACTCCACCACTGTCCTGGAATCATTAGTCTGTATTGTTTTAGAAAAACTGTCACATGACAAACAAAAATGTATCAGTACTCATACTTGTAAGTACTCGGCAAGTACCAGTACACGTACTCGCAAAACTGGTATCTGTGCATCCCTTTATATTTATAAAAACAAAATCGTACATTAAAACAGATGTACAAATCCAGGAGCTCCGTGTGCTCCTTACAAATGACATCTGCCTCCTAATTTTTTAATTTTTCTCTAGTCTAGTCTTGGAGCTCAAAAAGTATCTGTACTTGTACCGAGTACTGTACTTGGCATCTGTGCAACCCTAGTGCCTATATTTAAGTCACACTCCAGGAAAACCCCCCAAAAAAAGATAATTTACAAAAACGATAATTTAAATCATTAAAAAGCCATGTGCAGTAAAACAAATGTTTACCTTGCAGCATGCAGTCTCCTGCAATCTCCTGCACATAAGCTTCTGGGCACTGAGGTGAGTGAAAGATGCAACTTGAGCAGTGAGGTGCTCTAATCACATCGCCTGTCCCTTCTCACTATTGTCCATTCACAGATCTCTTCAAACAATACAAGGCATTCTGTGACTGCAGTAGGAAAGGAGGGAACGTGACATCTCTACTCCTCCAATGACAGAAAGCCTTATATTGTTTGAAAAAAATACAAGACATTTTGTAAATTGGCAATAATGAGAAGGTTTGGGTAATGGGCCCAGAGCACCTCACTGCTGGAGTTGCATCCCTTCCTCCCCTCAGTGCGTGTAAGCTCAGCGTTCTGTGCAAGAGACTGCATGCATCAAAGTCAGATTTGATATACTTTGCAGGGGCCCTCCACACAACACACAGCTTTTTAATATTGAACACATCCAACTCAGTGTATAAATTTTGTTTTTTTTCCTGGAGCCTTTAGCCGGCGGATCGCTTGTATATTAACGGGCATCGCTGCCTCTTTTCAAATAGCGGGGATTTCCCGCTCGCGCGCGGGCGGATGTAACAGGACGTGTATACACGCCCAGTTACATCCAAGAAGCTCCCGGCAGGCCGTGTATACACAGCGGCTGGCCGGGAGGTAGTTAATGCCTGAAGCAGTTTGTTTTAGTTGTAAAACTTCTAACAACCTATAAAAACCATAATACCGAACAGTTAATGAATTTAAAGTCAATTCCTGTAAAAAATAAAACAATCCAGGTCAGCATGACAGAAATGACTGCTGTTTGGTACTGTGCAATACTGGAGGCCTCAATAACCTTCCTTAGGCTGTTTGTCATACCTATAGGATCATGCGTAAGTAAAATGGTTAAGAACAAGCCGAGACTTGGCCTTACCTTAAAGACGTCATAGCTGATAAATGATTTTATGGTAAAAGCAAACCTTGGATTATAATGTGGCTACCCGGCATTATTTGACAAGCAGACAACGTAATAGACGTCAAATCCTTTTCAGTGGAACAAGACATTTTACATGACTAATGTTTATTTGTTTTTTTCCACAAGGAAATAAAAAACGGGAAGACTACAAAAGATTGTAAGAATCTACATATGAATTTATCTTTTTTTTTCTTTTAAAGGGTGATGCTCTTATGATGCTGAATAAAACAAACCCCCCAAAGCCCGAGACAGTATGTACACTCACATGCTACATCACAAAAAGTAAACTGTATGTACAAAATTATAATATGCCCAATTACCAGTGATTTATTCTAACTGGGTATTCATTTAAAGTACATTTATAAAATGCGACCTCTCCTTTAATCCCAATCTCAGCCAGACTTGGATTAAGAGAAAAAGGGGGCAGGCCTGCAAACCAAGCAAACTTTGCTACAATGCACGGGCGTCGCGCGGCATCTAATCGACGCCTGCTATCTTGGGACGCCAGCAGAGAGAAGAGGGGACGTTCACCCGGCGGGTATACCGCCGGATCACCTCCCTTCTCCTGACAAGTCGGGCTCTCGGTCCATGAGCGAGTGCTCAACTTTTTAGAGGGGGGTGACCCCAAAATGACTCAGTCATTTTGGGGTCACCCCTGCAATGGGTGCGGGCCGCACCCCTCCTGTGACGCCACTGAGCACAGTAC